TATCATTTGCTTATTATATTAGAATCAGCCAAAAGTGAAAGAATTTATTTCTGAGTTAACAAATTGTTATTTCACTCTTTCCCTCATACTACAATTACCTGTCAATTTTTATTTTGAAGAAAGATAAGATATATTAAAATCCCGAACTTCACAGCCTATTTATTCCAAACAGCAGTTGCAATACTTTTCGGTTTCAGTTTTATGCGAAGGGCTAAGCCATCTTTAGCTCTCTCTTCGATCGAAAATGTCACCGATTTATTATTACGATTTAAAAGTATCAAAACTCGTTGATATGTTGGAGTAACAAATGCAACTCCTTCATATGAAATCGGCTTCACGTAAAAATGCAATTCAATTCGAGCTGAACCCGGTGGAATGAATTTACTGAAATTTTTTGGCTTTAATTTAAAAATGTAGGAAATAGACATGATTTCCAAATTTATTAAGCTATTGTATTCTTTATCAGTTTTGCCAAATTGAGAAACTGAAAAAGAAACTACACCAGAAATGTAATTTGCTTGCTTTTTTTTTGTAAAATACTATTCTTTCAGTTCCATTGCCTTTTTTTAAATGATTGTGATAATAATTATTAAATAATGAGCAGTTATTTGAGACAAAATTTTTTTGCTTTTGATTTTTTAAAAGTACTTCTGTTTCAAATTTAAAGTTTCGTTACTGCCTTTAAATTTCTATTTTGTATTTGCTAAATTATTAGTAAATAAAACAAATATTTTAGCAGTTGGTAAATAGCAGTGATACTATTAGTAGCGACACTGTATTAGCTGATTAAATAGTACGACAATTAAAAAAAAATTAACTCAATTTCTCGAAGATGATAGAAATGTTACCTGAAATGTCCCATAATATAAAACATAGGTTGTTTGTAAAATTCATCAGCAGTTGCATTTACTATTATTGGAGCATCTACATAATTCTTAGCAAAGTTTGGTCCACCTTTCAAATCAAGACAAAGATTCCAATCAGTCCATCCAGACACCCAGTGAGAAAGATCCTGAAATTTCTGGGATTAGAGCAAGTACGCTTTATTCCAAGCATTTATTTTCTGCTAAATTATTTATCTTTGTTAGCTTTTCATAAGCATCCTATGTTTGTGTCTTTAAAAACCTATTCAGCATCTTTTTCAAGACGAGAATAATTCGGTCAAAAATTATAAATTCTTGTTCATTCTGATGCTGAATCTGTTCTATGAGTCAACTGAAAATTCATAATACTAAGAAAAAAATTTCAAAAATAAATTTTCTGAGTGTTAGCTTAGAAATCTCGTTACTGACATAACAATTAGATATGCAAAGTTACGTAAGTTTCAAATTATCGATAAGCTAGATGAAGCAGCTATGGCCTTTACAAGGAAATTTTAAAATTATATCGAGAAGTTTTATGAAAAACAAGATGGTACCTGAATGATATCATGAGCATACATATCACCGCGTGACCAATCTCCCAGAATTGGCCTATGTTCAAAAGGCTTGAATCCAGTACATGCCTGAATAAAAATTCTCTTCAATCTTTCATTGTAATTAGTAGATTCTTTATCATGCTACATGATATGAACATGATCCTGAGCAATATCCAATATATGCTGAATGATCTTTTCTAAATTGAATGATAAATTACGATAAAATTTTAAAGAATTATGATAAAATTTTGAAGAAAACCAGCCTCAGAACCAAAAATGAATTTATTTGGATGACGATTGTGTGTTTCAGAAAGCTGTGATACTGGCACGAAATCGTTATACCAATGGACCGCTATACCAGACACATATTGAGCGGCTTCCTTATCTTTAAGAACCTTAAAAAAATTTAACAACCTTAAATAACAGTACTTTTTCTATCTAAATTACGATCATAGCTTATAAGACAAAAGTCTTGCTAATATTTAATTTATTTAATTTAGCAGTCATAGTGATGAGTTGAGTTACAGAGAGAAATCTATATTGATGATAATTTAATGACAAAACTCTTAATTAGCTCTTAAACCTTATAGTACCATTGAATGATTGCATAAGTAATGTATAAACAAATACCACATCAGCCCAAATCGGTAGTTGTGTTCGCTGATCATCCATTATCATTAATGATATATTCCGACCCACGTTACTTTTTCGTAACGCTGGACCAAGATGATTTTTTATAAAATCACTAGAAAATCAAATCATTAAAAATGAAATATTACAATCATTTTTTGTGGTCATTAAAAAAAAAAAATGATAATTATGTAGTAATCAAAAATTTGATGAATGTTATTTATGCTATGAAATGATCTTATTTAAATAGATTTCTTTATTCGTTCAATTACAAAAAAGAAAATTACATAAGCATACCGTTCAGTTTTGGGGCTAAAATACATTGCTTGCCATTTATATGACAAATCAGCACCAGCAACCGGTTCATTTTGAACAGTAAGTCCCCAAAATATTACACCATTATTTTTGTATGCTTCAAGAAATCTGAAAGCAAATAAAAACAAATTTATCTAATTCATAACGAATACAAGTCCATATCACAGATAAAAAGATGATGACTTACTTTATCACAGATAAAAAGATGATGACTTACTTTATCACAGATAAAAAGATGACGGCTTACTTTACATAGTGATTAGCCCACGTTACATGATATGGTCCATTAGATAGTCCACGTAATGCTCCACCACCAATCATTTGTCCACTCGTTTTCATCCATCCTGGTGCTGACCATGGAGAAGCAAATAATTTCAGTACACCACCTGTTAAGTTTACTGCTTGCTTGATATAAGGAATCTGAACTGAAAATTTGCATCAAACATGGAAATTATCATTTTCCGTGAAAGAAAAAAAGAAAAAGAAAACAACGTTGAAAATGAATTAAAAAATTTCAAGAAGTTAATTGAAAAATATTCTTTCGAACATATAAGAGAACGATACAACAACTAATTTATAGTTAATAATAGCAATTTACTTTGAATTTGAAATCTTCATCAGCCAATGAGAAATTACTAAGAGTAAAATCATTCGGTGAGTCATCATATGAGTATGCATGAGTTGAGAAATCGGTACTTGCAATCGGTACTCTACCAATCGTATATTGTATACCTCAAAATATTTATGTTCTTTTTTGATACAATAAAAATAATAGGGAAATTTTTTCGAAGGACATAAAAATTTGTTTATTTAGTACTTATTCTATATAGTGATATCAATGAATAATTTAAAACATAAAGCTCAGGTTTGAATTACCTGTACTTCCAAAATAGGACTTCAATAAATTGGTTCGAGTTGATTCACTCAGTGAATTGATATTAATACCAGCTGCATCAGTAAATGCTCCACCAAATCCAATTATTGTTTGAAACCGTATCCGACTATCAATTTTTAACCGAATGATTCCAGTTTCTATAAATAATTTCTTGAATTTCGAAAGTTCTCAATTAAAAAAAAAAAAGAAACTAATCAAGAAATTTGTTTGTAAAATTTACTGAAATAAAGAAGAAATGGAATAAGTTATTCATAACTTTACTGCTAATATGCTAATTATACATGCATTAGTTTTATTTATCCAAAAAAAAAACTATTTTATCAATTTATTTAAAAGAAAAGAAAGAAAATTTATTTCAGAGATAAGTGATAAGAGATATTTGCTGCATACGATCAATTCGAAAACAATTAACAGCAGAATCCTTGAAATGTAATGTGACACGAAAACTTTCATTTAGAGCTACAAATATAATGATAAAATTCCCAATTAACCAAAATTGCATGATCATTTTCTACTTTAAATTACTGAACTTAATCTTAAAGTAAAAAGGAATTTGATGCAATTTCACCTCAAATGAACTAAATTCTGTCGCCATTTTATGTTTGCAAATTTTATTATTTTTGCATCATTATTTTATATAAGATTATTTTATGTACCATTTCATGTAACTCAATGTTTCAGCAATGTCTTTTCAAATTTGACAAATTTCATTTCTGTACTCGGAGTACGATAAGGAATTCCTCGATGGTAGATAATTGAATTTAGAGCTCATAGATAAATCACAACGAGAAAAGTAAATTAGTAAGATAAAAGTTTCAAATATAAGTTACATAAGTGCTGTGAAACAATACGTATATATCGATATATTTTGATTCCTCACCTTTCTATAATTGACTTCTTACAATAAAAAATTTTTCTCTCTTTTTAATAAGACTCGAGAAAAAAAAAAGCTCAAACTTGTAGTCATATGATGCAGTCACAGAATTGAGATATTTCAGAGAGTAAATGATTTAAATCCATTTATTTATTTTTTTTTGATGAATAATTGTAGATGAAATGATATGGACAAATAGTGGACAAATAGCGCTTCTTCTATAAATTTTTTATAAACTTTAATTTTACCATTTGTCGTTTCCGTGAACGAAGAAACAGTACGCTCGAAACGCTTCCCATATTGATCCGTTTGATAGATGGCTGCCTGCAACGGTTGCAAATTACCCACTTCCGGTATTTCATCACAGTATGTCGCATTGCATACACAAACTACATTTTCCTTCTTTTCATAATATCGTTGTTGACATTTTTGGATTTTTATACCTGAAATAGGTGAAAAAAAAAAATGTCACCCTATTGAACCAATTCCAAAAATCGATCTTAAACTCCAAAAAAAAAAATGAAAGAAATGATTGTGAAATAAACATGTATGATAAGCATTTGCTATAAAATTTAGTTAGTGTTATTTACTGATAAATGTAATTTATACTAAGCAAGCAAAAGTCTTTTTTTGATTTTTTTTTTTTAAAGTAATGATTATACCGTCATATGATTTATTGTACTTGTAATAACAAGTACAATAAATAAATAAATAAATGAAAACTTAGTGATGCATTTGCATGAGACAATAATAAATCACAACTTTTCACTCAAATAGAAAATAAATTTTAGCACTAAAAATAAATTTCTCTCATCTAAACTGATGAAGAAAAAAAATTGAACTATTCTAAATGCTTCTTTAGAAATTACATTGCTTCCATTTTGTTCTATCAATATTGCTTAACGATAATAGCAAACTAACAATATAAATTATATACCTGAGCATAATAGCTTTCCGCACCAAAGTAGCAAAAATAAACAAAGAGCAAAAAATGAAGAGCATCGAGAATTACGGATAAATATTACATCCATCTAAACGAGAAATTAAACCTGAGAGTGAAATGTTCCACTGAAATAGCACCTGTGATACAAAGACACGGCAGTCAGTTGCCGTTTTGCACATATCATCGTCAATCGCATTTCACTCTCGTAGCAACAACTGTCAGCATTCTCTTCAAATCCATTCAAATGAATTTACTTTTCAGTTAGTGGAGCGATAAAGGTCACGAATATACCCATGGAAATTACCTCTGTACTATTTTTGATCATATACTTTCTCATTTAAATTCCATTCTTTCATTTCCTTTTTCTATTTCATTCTTTCTCTTTTTGCTTTAAAATTTTCATAAACTGTCAACAATCATTATTGTCTTTTCTTTTTTACTGTTTTAAGGAAATAAAATTCAAAATAAAATGACTCATTTATTTATACATTTGTTTTTTTTTTACTTATAAACTTTAACAAATTTAACGAGCAATTTTAATCGATTCTTATTAATTGTAAATTTCACCGAAAATAATTGCATATTTTTTTGCATATTTTAAACGAAAATTTGCATATTTTAAACGAAAATTTTGATTGAACGATATTTGTGAGTTGCATTGCAAAATAATTAAAAAGACTTCATTTAATTTAGAGAAAATTAATTAAATTAACTAATTCTGTCTTTCATTGAATTTGCAGACTGATAAATTCTGATCCCCAATCAATTTATTCTCGTACAATTTTGTTAATCTTTCAGAAATAACAAATATTGCTCCTTTTAGTAAATTTCATTACGATATGCATAATAAATACGATCTTTGTAGAAAATATGCATTTTTTTTCGGTGCAAATTCTCGATAGAAAAATGATTAATAATTAGGTTTGAGTGATTAGAAAGAACATAAACTCCTTTAAAATGGATGTGTTAATCTTCAAATATTAATTAATGTCTTTTAAACATATATACTTTATCAAATCTAAATTTTACCATTAATAATGCGTTGCTTTGTTTTTTATGATTAAATATCAGACAAAATTTTTAGTGGAACGATTAGCACTATCTTAAAACGGTGCATTTTTTGGAAACGAATATACGCAAGCATGTCTCATGTCTTCCATTACGGGGACGCCCCGAGCAAGGTGGGAATGATAGAGAAGCGGCTACCAGGATCACCACGAGACCCTGGATCTCGAGGAGTGCAGGGACCGGTTAGAGATCAAGGATTCCCAGATCCACCGGAACTGTAAGGACCACAAGGTGCCGATGGACCATGAATGGTTGGACCGGGGCCATGATAGTAACGGAATTTGTCATAAATAACGAAGCAATGGCTTTCCTATTCAGCGATACATCGTTGATGTGTCCTTCCAATTATCTTACAAACCTCAAATCGCCATCCGTCCTTCCTTAGCATTACCTTTGAATTTTATGAAAAAAAGTTCATAACATATTTGATGCAGCGAGCAGGGAAATGTCAACCACCATTATATTCACTTTTTTCTAAAAATGAATGTTGCTCATTTAAATATTATTTCTGTTTACTTTTTGACTGTATTTGTCTTTTTTCTGCTTTTCGTTATATTTATTTTCGTGAAATGTATAGCAAAGTTCAAGTAAGTTAAGTTTTTTTTTTTGGTATAGAGGCACATTTCTATACCATCTATTTCTGTCGCATAGAAGTGCATCTATACCATCGATTTGTTTTTTAAATCAAATTTTTTTAGTTAATCTAAAAGATCTGTTATTCGATAATTTTTCCTGTCGAAAAATCGAAATAAAATTTACAATACAAAATATTTGCATGATCAAATTATTTCCATGTTACTTTTTGACAGAATGTGCTTCAGTAATTCAATCTCAATCCACAATTCTAAACGACGCTATAAATTAACCCGAAAATTAACCGGATTAACCTGAAAATAACTGCCTTTTATCCTCGGTTTAATTCTCGAGGAATTTGACGTTTGTATGTATCTTTGAATCAGTCTCTCATCTTTTACACGATCTTTCTTCGTTCACATCACTTCATACAACTCCTTTTGTTCCTGTCGGAAAATCCAAAATTTTGTGATGTTAAATTATTCACATCAACTGAGATTTGTATCATTGACAGTTAAGCTGAGGATTTCATCTTTGTTAAATTTTTTGTTCGAAATTTGTCTTTGTTAAATTTAATTTCCTTATGTTGCTATAAATCATTAAGAGATTCCTTATAACGCTTTTATCCTTTGATTTGTTCTTTATCTTTATGATAGCAAATATAGCTGGTCCTTTTTTCTCCTTCCCCAATATGACATTGTCTGACTTTGGGATTACCTATTAGGCCCATTATGTACTATTCTGATACTGTACCACATTGGATATATAAACTGTAGGAGGGATGGTACTCATTTCAACATTCATACGTTTATTTCTCTCTGTTTGCAACTATCATCAAATCAACTACGCTTTGATACTCGAATTGTTTCTAATAATAATAAAATTCGCAAACAATAAAATAAATCTCAACAAGTAATTTGTCTGTGAATCAACAATAATCAATCCATAACAACAAAAATTTTGGTGCATAAGGTGAGATGACGATGTCGACTTTTCTGGCCAAATCAACTCAACCAACTATCAAAGAAATCTTTAAAAAATCGAATTCCTTAACATCACCATAACGAAACTTACCGATAGAAGAAATACAAAAGCAATGTGAAATCAAGAAACTGACCGTCAAAAACGAAATTAAACGTTTTGAAATGTACGTTGGTGTGCTAGAATCAATAATCAAAAAATTGAAAATTAATCAAATCGATTAATCAAAAGTGGCTGAATTTTCTGCAACAAACGACAACAACGAGGAAAAAAGAAGAGGAAGAGAAGTACGAGAAAATGGTCGACGACAAAAAAAGTATTTTAAGTTTAATCAATAACGGTAAAGCCATCATTACCTTAACTCATATTACATGATGACTTTGAATTGGTACTCCGAGACTTGAATAAATAGATACCGAAAGGACATCTTCATCCACATATCACTCAACAATAAACCTACCGCAGTTGCCATTACAAATTTTCAGCCGAGACCCCAAATTGTGGCGTGAATTCTGGAATAACTTTAATGCGGCCATGCATCACCAGGAGATTCCAATCATTTAAAAACTTACCTATCTGATTTCGTGTCTTGGAGATGCTTTACAATCAGTTAGAGGCTATGACCTCGTTCCAGAGAATTACGAACTAATCAGACAAATTTTAATCGACAAATCTGGTAAACATAGAATGAATTCCATTCTATCAAACGAAATGACAAAGAATGGAAATCAGTTATCAATGCGATGGAAAGAGTCCTTCGTCAATTAGAAGCAATAGGTGAGAACATAGAACATTCTAGTATTGAAATAACTATTGAAAGTAGATTGTCACCATGGATCTTGGATAAGATTTATCATTTAAAAACAGAAAAGGAAAATTGGACCGTCAATAACCTTCGACAATTCCTGATGAGATTATCCAAAGAAACAATGAAGTAAACAGAAGTCAAACTTACAGTCAGGAACAAAACACGAAACGTGTATTATATGAGCACTACTGGAGAAGAAAAAACCTTTGCTTTGATTACAATAAAGCAATCCAAATTAGCTAATGAAAAAGCCTTGAGTTAATCACTAATTCAAAGAAAATTAGTAGGGTAAAAGATCTCGTGCATCTGCAACAAAAACCATTGGAATAACGAATGTCTAAATTATTCCTCAATCCAACAATGGATTGAGTGGCTGAAGGAAAAAAATGTTTGCACGAACTGTCTTCGGAAAGGACGTGCAACAAACAATTATAACCAAAGGAACGTTCATGTTTCCACTGTAAAGGCCAACATAATACGGCTTTGTGCTACATGAAATATGGCTCACCCAAAATTAATGAAGAAATAAATTCAGCATTCATCACCAATTCAATAAGTCAATCAATCAATCAATCACCAAGGTTATTCGTATGTTATTCGTGAAGTCACTATTACGAACCCGAATAATGAATGCTGTTCAAACCTTTTAATTTTTTTAATGCAATATAAAAATATCTAATTGAAATAAACCAAAGTTTTAATTTTGTTCCTTGCAGGTAAATAAATATTCTAAGATAACACCTCTGTTTACAAGCTCTGACAAGAGATTCATGACAGATAGTACGGAAAGTACTGTTACTAATAAACTGATGGATCATAAAAGTGCATGATGTGATATTAAAGTATCTTTGTATTATTGATATTTATGTTGAAGGAATTGCTTAGTCAAATTCCTCGTTTATTTCTTTGATATACGATTCCAAGAATAACTCAATGATTATTATCAGAAGATCACTGTCTTGAAAGAAAGATATGCTTTGTTTGTACGATTTAAAGATTACCATCGATTCATAATCCTTTGTTTAC